TTGTTAATATTTAATGAAGAGGATAAACTGTGCCGCGCGTCAAATTGTAGTATCGATTTTCGTTCGGTCGCTCAACGAGAAGAAAAAAAGTAAAGAGAAAATATTACGGAAGAATCGACGGAGGGAACACGATATTTTTTTCGTTGGCGAGATCGGAATCGCGTCCGGAAATTATTCGCGGCAACTTTTTCGCGATCATTGTTTCGAACGCGCGTAATCGACTTCGCAAGATGACGGCAAAAATATCAGTACATATGAAAAGATAATCTCGCGAATGGTGTCAGCAGCGACGATCCAGGGAGATCCGTATTGCAGATTCCTGAATCGCGAATATTGCCACGGATCGAACTTCTTCCCGGCTAACGAAGAGTCAGTCGCTTCCCATTAACGGAGGATCGTTTCCGACGGCGCGGCGGGGAGTCGTTTCGTGCGCGCGGTGAAATTGTTCGAAAATTTCACGAGGGAGAGTATCTGGAACGGAGCCAACCGGTGAAATCGATCGGCCGGCAAAGCACATAAGCTGCGCCTCTTTATTTATTTATTCTACTACGTGTACGTGTATCGTATAAGTTCTGTGCGCGAGTCCACCAGACCGCCTTGAAATTTTCCGCGTTTCCTTGCCGTAGTGCCCGATAACGCCACTCGTGGAAGAAAGGGACGCCTCTAATGATGATTTTTATACCTTCTCTTGGCGCCATCGCACTTACCCACGAATCTTCCGCCTAGCGGGATACTCTCTCAGAGCAAACATAATAAAAGTTTCTCGTAAATCCGCTGTCCGATACGTTCGCAGTTATATGAGCTCATCAAGTTTGCAATCGTCGATCTGTACTTAGTCTCTTGCACATCTCGCCGAACCTTTGATGAAGTTCCGATTTGTGCTCTGCGAAAATTCGTCAGACGAAGACGCACTTGGTGCGTCGTAACGTGCGTTTTCCTTCTTTATAATCTTATGGTTAAATCGAGAAATTGCGTTTCTCTCAAGATAAAGCGCGATCGACACAAAGGTTTGTTTTATACAAATTTGTTTTTCTGAAAATTTAACAGTGAGTCGTTTGCCGTTGTAAATTTTCGACATGCACAACTGATCGGTAAATTTTTATTACATTTATTATTTTATTACCGTTCATTTCTGCATTCTTGAAGCATAATCTAGGAGAATATTGTGATATTTAAATACGATGAAATTCCGTTAAATAAAAGCCCACTTCGCATTTTTATCAAGGAATGTAGTAACGGCTGATTGACCAAAGTTGAACGGACCTCATTGTAACTTTACAAAAGAAAAATCAATAGTAACTCGATTTTTGCCGCTCGTGGGCAAAGGAACGCGGGATATTAAAATATTTCCATTCTCTTCTCCGCGGAAACAGCTTTGCTGTGCATCGGGTTATCGATTCCTTTCGTTGGCCGATTCATAGTAATTTCGGGTGGTCTTTCCCACCGTTTCATTACCCAATTTATATAACACTTTCCGCGATCAATGGTGTATATGTGCAACCGTAGAAATATTTGTACTTTATACCGAGCATGGCGGCTTGGATATTGACGACGTATGAGAGCCATTAATCGTTCGTCCTACTTTAGCTTAGTTCTTTTTGGAACGTGTTACCTCGTAACCGGCGTAAAACAGTTACAAGCTCACACATGCGAGACATGAATTATAACGCCGCGTAAATTAAAATGCGAGAACGCGGAATACAAACCTATAAGCATACTGTAAGTAGAATACGGAAGCGTGACACGAACACAACTATCGTATCATATTTGAGTTACCGATTCGACCTGCTTTCGTGCAAATTTCATGCACGCGTCGCCGTTTAATGCGATTTTACAATTTTCATCACGACGACACGATAGCTCTGATTTGCCGATTTGAAACAACGCTCGTTGAAAAAAGAGGAATGCGCGAGGAAGAGAACACAATTCTTGACTAAAGTCCCTGTAGTAAGAGTCTGGCCAGAGTTGCTAATTTGACAAAACATAGCGTCGTAGGTAAATAAAAACAATGTAGTGTGAAACTGAAAGATATTGTAGATTACAAAGGCATTTCATAAACAAGTGACTTATATAAGAATATCGGGAAAAAGAAAATTAACAGAAGACATTTGGTAGGGATATTTTATTCCAGTATGTTCTGTACAATAAAAGATGTTTACTTAATTTTATTTGACTTTATAAAAACCACCGAAATCAAACATTCTAAATAACATTATATAATTTTTAATTGAAATTGTATTTTTACATAAATAAAACATTCCTACCAGTTGAGTAATACCGCGTGCAAAGTATAGATGCAAAGAAATATCTTATTGGTTCCATCAGATTTTGTCGATAGAAGATAACTCTGGCCAGATTCTTAATATATAGGAATTTTACTCTCAACATCTTACGTAGGCGAATATCGTTAATAGAAAATTGTCTCACCGGGGAGAAGCCGCGTAAAGTATCCTCAGGGGCGGCGGCAAAATCGACGTGATGGCAGCGATTATCGCATAGAATATCAAACGAGCGTGGTATCCAGAGAGTTGTTCGGTGGCCTCTTCTAGGCGTCGTGTGTTTATCAAGTCAATTTGCCGTAACGATCGTTAGGCGCACGACAGGCTTTGATAAGGACCTAAATCGATGACACGGGAGTTCGTTGGCTCGCAGGACTTCTTATTACGCACACGGTATAACCCTGAACTTTCAAGCTCGCCTGGACGGCGCGTGATGCGACGGTCGAGCTGGTTAAAAATAATGCACCCGACGGTCCGTCTCACGACTCTTCTCCACGAACTGCCGTCGTGACTGTCTCCTCTCTTCCATTTGTCCCGGGAATGTAATTCTCGCGAGAAATGTCGCGAGCGAACGGTCTTTTCTCCTCCGATACTCTTCTTCCTTTCTTAGTCTTCGATCGACTGATCGTACGATCTCTTCGCCGCCTTCGTTCTTCTCCCATTTCTTCTCTACATTATTCTGCCGAGGACCGCTGTCTATTTTCGCAAGTTCTCATGAGACGCGGTATGCCGGTTAGGTCCTATTTTTTTTCCGTTTTTCTTTCATTCCCTACCTCTTTGCTCCCTCCTCGTTCCCTCCTTTAAACGGACTTATGAAGTAAAATTCACGAGAAGGCTGGGATGGGTGCGAAGTAGACTATGGCAAATTACACGGTCTACTCTGAAGCGCTGCTAGAAAATTGTCTTTCTTTGTCGCTCGTACCGTTGTGAACTAGTGGGAATAAGAAAATTCTTCGGAAAACTAACGCTAATTTCTCTCGATTAAGAAAAACGTAATATCACTCGTTGACAATTTTTTCTCATCGCGATATCATCGCACAGATATTCATGCATAAAATAAGTCATATGCATCGATATCGATGATTTAATATTAATTTTTACAAGCAACCTTTTCCCTTCTATTTTCTCGAAAGTAAAACTAGAGATAAAGAAATCTAACAATCTTTTACTATCCCGTTTCTTTACAAGCCTGATATTCTCGCGACAGTAAAGGAGTTTTATTTTCCCGCATGGGAGCGGCGAGGAATTTAATACCGGACAAATAAGATGCGCCCTCATAAAATGTAGATGCCGATAATCGTTCGCACGCAGGATCATTGCTCCGCATATAATTATTCCCATATAATTATTCAATTTTCGCGGAAAATATTCGATACTCCACGTTATTTTTACGCGAGACATACGATTGCTAATTTGCATAAATGTCGATATCCTCAGCACGTATGTGGACGTCGTTATCGATCTCGTCGTGTTGCATCGCGTGCATACGATAATTGAGCTGGCCTTAGCCATTGTTTACAATGATTATACAGGTGTAGCACTGCGCAATTCTGCCTGCATACTTAACCACTTCGCGCGGTAGATAAATTCCGCGTGCTCTGATTCAGTCGGCTTGCACGACCCATATTTCATCCGTGGCGAAACGCGAAAACTCCCGTTTGTTTACTCGTTTCCCACCGCGAGATCGTTTAAACGCCGGTGGATTATTCTACGCGATATTACGCTGCGCCCGGCGTTTAACTCGACATTCCTCGATGTCGCGCGATTAAATAATCGACAAATTTATTGCCGACTACGCGGATTACCCCGTTTAATTAACCGCTCGTCGTCTTTGACGGTGTTAGAGCCGCTTAACGAGGCACCAGCTCGGTGCGTTTGTGTGCGCGGGAATTTGCGCAACTTTAAAGTTCCGCGGAATTTTGTCCAGAGTGCTTTAGCTCAGTGTCATAAACGTGTCCGCTGACAGCTATTGACTTGACGTTAGATTACGCTCGTGCTCGCATCGGAAATAAAGCGATACTGCGGACGCGCTAATGAAAAGATTCACGAAGGATAACAAAGCTCATTCGAGTCTGTCCTCGTGATCGTAAGTCGCGGCACTTTCATTACTTCTCATTACGGCAATCACTTCGTTTTATCGCATTTTTCATTCCGCTTTGTAAAAGTTGATATTCGGTTTGAAACAAAAGTATTCTCCCACATCGAAGTGTTTCAAAATTATCTAATAGTTAACAGCAGTATTGCTAAATCAGTATAAATCTTAAATCTAGTGGTTTTGTCAGCGATTGTAGAAAAATTGTATATATATATATATATATATATATATATAT